CCCCAAAACCCCAAAACCCCAAAACCCCGCCTTTTCAATATACGCAGTTTTACTATTTTTAATGATAAATTTATTAATACAAAATTTTAACAAATACGAGCTTAATTTATAAATGTGATAATCAATTTTAAAATGAAAGCAAACTAAAATTCTGCCAATTAAAAGCCTGAAAACTCCGCTGAATCTCCAAATCATCAAATTACCAGCAAAACTTCCTCTAAAAAGAGGGAAGATGGAACTGAAGATGTTAATTCTAAATTTTAACAATTGAAAGATTCAGATAAGGTGAACGGGAAGATTCCAGAGGAGAACGAGGATGATTATGATGCAGAACTAGATTAATCTACTGAGAGAAATGAAAAAATACAGAGTTAAGTCTCAGTTGAAGAGGTAAAAGAGATTATGAATAAAAATAAGTCGAAATTAGAGAAACTTTTATGCTAGTCGGATATTTTTGAGTGCCTCAGAAAAATCAATAATGGAGAGATCAAATCCTACGATGAGCTAGATTTTCTAGCAACGAAGTAGCAATAGATCTAGCAAGAAAACTTGTCAAGGAGGAGACTCGCTAATAATAAAGTTGATGAAATTGAAGATATAGTTGGTGATAAAGACAATAAACTCTTTGAAATATAGAAAATTGAGAAGCAACCTGACAACCTTATTGGAGGTATTTTGAGGGACTATTAAATAGAAGGCTTGAACTGGCTCTATAAATTGGAGCAAGCAAATCTTAATGGTATCTTGGCTGATGAAATGGGTCTAGGAAAAACCATCTAGTCGATTGCTATCATTGCATTGATAGAATCATTTAAGACTAAAGAGTAGATTGAGAGTAGAACTAGTCATCACGTTATCATAGTGCCTAAGATCGTATTAGGAAAATGGAAAAAGGAAATCACTGATTGGCTTCCTACAATAAGGTTATTCCAGTTCTACGGATCAAATGAAGAAAGAGTGCAATAAGTTTAAGAAATGAGATAACATAAGTTTGATGTCATGCTGACTACATTCGAAACAGTTATTAGGGAAAAAGGAGAACTCTCAAGATACAACTTTGACTTCTTGATTCTTGACGAGGCTCAAAGAATAAAAAATGATGAGAGTGTTTTATCATAGGTCCTTAGAAGATTCAAGACTAAGCATAGAATACTGCTAACTGGTACACCTTTACAAAACAACTTAAGAGAGCTTTGGGCACTCTTGAATTTTTTAATGCCAAAGTTATTCGATTCAGCTGAGGAATTCAAAGAGCTATTCATGATTAAGAGTGAAGATTCTGGTGCCTAAGAGCAAATAATTAAATAGATTCATAGATTGCTTAGACCTTTTATGCTCAGAAGACTTAAGAGTGATGTAGAGAAGAACCTGCCAACAAAAAAAGAAATTTACTTATTTATTGGTCTATCAAAGCTTTAAAAACAGCTCTACAAAAATATATTAACTGGTAATATTGACGTTGTTAATGGAGTTGGTGACAAAATTAAGCTCCTCAATGTTCTAATGTAGCTAAAAAAGGTTTGTAATCATCCATATCTATTCGATAAAGTAGAGCCGGGCCCACCGTTCATAGATGGGGAACATCTTATAGATAACTCAATGAAATTCAAAGTACTAGATCTTTTGATACCTAAGCTTTTGAATTAGGGTTGTAAGATTTTGATTTTCAGTTAAATGACTAGACTTTTGGATATCCTAGATGATTTCCTAAGGTTTAGAGGATTTTAATATTGTAGAATTGATGGATAAACCTCTGCTAATGATAGAGAAATTAGAATTGAGGATTTTTAAAAACCGGATTCTACGAAATAATTATTCATTCTATCAACAAGAGCAGGAGGTTTGGGTATCAATTTGCATTCTGCGAATGTAGTTATAATATTTGACTCGGACTGGAATCCATAAGTTGATCTATAAGCAATAGATAGGGCTCACAGAATAGGACAGAAAAGAGATGTAGTTGTTTATAGATTTGTCACTGAAGGTTCAGTTGAAGAAAAAATCGTAGAGAGAGCAGCTAGAAAACTAAGAGTAGATCATCTAATTATGCAAAAAGGAAAGTTTGGAGGAGGCAATGACAATAATCCTAATAAAATGAATGCACAGGAAATGCTATAAATGATTAAATATGGTGCTCAGGAAATAATTTTGACAGAATAAGATGGGTAATTGATGGATGAAAATATTGACAGTATAATTGAGCATAGCATGAAGAGAACAGATGAGATAAATAAGGAACTAAGCAAACTTGAAGAAAAATTCAATTTGAATAATGTCTCACTTACTGGTGAAGATGAGAAATAGACAGATCTCTATACATTTGAAGGACAAGATTATAAAAAGAAATAAGTTCCATAAGCATAGGAAATAGATTTTATCGATATTGGGCAAAGAGAGAGAAAATAGCTGTCCTACGATATCGATAAATATTATAGAGAAGCTCTAAATTAACCCACTCAGACAAAGGAAAAAAAGAAATTAAAAGGTTGGAAAGCTTAAGCTAACGGAGGGTATGATCACTAGTTCTTTGATAGCGACAAGCTCAATGCTCTTGAAGAGAAAGAAAATAATTGGAACAGCTATAAAAATAACCCAGAGGAGTATATTAAAAATTCTGAAACAAAGTAAAAACCTCCTCAATATTCCAATAAAGATCAGTATCAGAAAGAAAACTTGATTAAACAAGGATTTCCAAATTGGTCTAAGAAAGATTTCTTCACATTTATCAGGATGTGTGAGACATTTGGAAGAGATAATTATGCTAAAATAGCTGAAGCATTCCCAAATAAGACAATCGAGGAGATAAAGGATTACTCTAAAGCATTCTGGCAAAAGTGGGAAGACCATATTGAAAATGGGCATAAATACGTAGAAAGAATCGAAAAAGGTGAGGCAGAGATAGAAAAATATAAGCAAATTGAGTCTGCGATAGAAGAGAAGTTCTAATATAATTTTTAAGAATATGTGGAGAACAATCCAGAAAAGTAATTTAATCAGTTTATGCTCGATGATCTTACCATAATGAGAAAAGATGTAATAGGCCAGAGACCATAGTAATCTCTCAGTAATTTTGATTTTTCTGAGGAAGAAGATAAGTTTATTGCTATGGCTTTGTTTAAATATGGCTATGGATCTTGGGATTTAATAAGGAATGAGCTTAGAAATTCTGATAGGTTCAGGTTCAACTGGATAGTGAAAACTAGAACTGTAATAGATATCTAAAAAAGATGTGAGTACCTTGTATAAAAATTTAAGAAAGAGGTTTAAATCATTAAAAAAATTGAAGAAGAAAAAAGAACTTAAAAGGAAGAGGAGGAAAGAAGAATTAGAAAACTAAATGAGAAAAAAATGCCTCAAAAGGGTAAAAAGTAGGATATTAGATAAACTCTAGCTTCAAGTAATAGTAAGTTAAAATAAAAAACCAATGGGAAAAGCCATCTCTCGAGAAGAAACGACTGTAAAAGGGGGAGAGATAAGGATTCCGATGAAAAAAGTGATGAGGAGAGCGATAATAACGGATCTAGAGATTTTGACGAATCAGAAGAAGATCAATCAGAATCAATGAGTGATGTATCTGAATTTAAAATGGCTAAGAGTAAAGGCGCTAAGGTATCAAAGACTCTTAAAAAGGAAGAAATTAAGCAAAAACCTAATAAGAATGGTGTAAATAACTAAGGTTCATAGCAATCAAATAGAAGACAGGCCAAAGAATAGGCAAAACTGTAAATTTCTGAGAGTAAAAATTCTAAAGTGGGCGTTGCTTCGAGTAACTCAAATAATTAAAATTAATCTCTGAGGAGAAGCACTAGAAGATCATGATTAAGTGCTAAGATTTTTTAACATTTGATTGTGATAGTTGCTTTGATTTAGAAGTTTATAAGATATTAGATAAAATTTAATTAAAATCAGAGTTTTGTATTTAATCTAATAAAATAAAATGAGGCCGACTTTGTTGAATTTTAGATCACCAAACGAGAGAACTCCTGAATATTATGATGTTATAACCACTTACTAGGGTGACAAGCTAAAGTTTAGATCAAATTCTATCAATCAAAAAATGTCTAATCTCCCTTAAGCTTAAAGATTCGCTTAGTACAACTTCTATTAGAATAACAGTGGTGTATCATGTTTTATTGGTCCTGGAACTTATAACGATCATGAAGATTTTCTCAAATTGACTGCCTAGCCATGCAGCATTAGAATGGTAAATTTATCAAATCCTTAATACTTTAGAAAAAAGTAACTGCTTTACCTGAGAACGAAAGCGGTAAACCTTGCTATATAATGATAGGGAATAATCTTAAATTTGAGCCTAGCTTTCTTTCAACAAGAGATCAATAGAGAGATTTATCAGATGTAAATGCACAAACTTGTCCAGTTCATCTAAAAAGTAATCATATTGCTTATAATATCAAACAGCCATTCTAAAAAAGAGATCAATATCGTAGATTAAGTAACGACTTAACTATTCGATAAAAAATTAGACTGAGTCCTCAGATAAAGGATCTTTCTCTTTACCTAGTTCTATTAAAAAATAATACAAAACAAACAATGAGTTGCCAGAGTAAGAAGGTGAAAAAGTGGAAAGTTTTTATAATAGAAGTGTCTAGAGACCTTAAACTTGCAACTAATGCTAAAGCAAAATAACTCCAAATCAAAGATTTAATATGAGTGCAAGCACTAAAGCCTCTGTAAGTATTTTTATTTACTGAAATCTTCCATCTAGATGTCAGGAGGTAAATATGTAAATGATTTTGCTAATACAATAGGAGGTTCATCTAACATGGATAAATCTACAACTATAGAACCGACATCTAGTCTTAATTTAAAGAGGATTTAAGAGGAAGAGAAATCGTCGCCTAATTTAGTTAACGATGAAAATGGAGAACAATTGATGTCAGATGAAAATTAAATTAGGATAAAGTCAATGCTTCCTAAGACGGCTAATAATTTCCATAAAATGAAGAAGGGTCTCTATCTAAATCCTATTAAAGGATATCCCTATAATCCAAAAGAGGAGGCATTAGCTAGATCTTTAAATATTCTACAGGCTTATGGAGAAATAATTCCCACTCTTTCTACATAAGTGAAAAGGAAAAGAAGCAGAGGCGGTAGTCACAAGAAATAAAAGAATTATAAAACTTCTCTGAATGAATCACTTCAGTTGACACCTGACCAAGGATATATGAATATCATTAGAGATACACCAGTTATAGTTGATCAGAGAGAAAAACTTGAAAGACAAAAACGTGAAATCTTAAATATGTAATTTGATAGCTCTTGGAAAAAGAGAGAGGATAACAAATAAATGAACAAATTTCTAAGTGAACGATATACTTAGGACTCCAGAGAAGAAGAAATTAATCCTTTGAAGCAAACTAAAAATTCAGATTAATAAAATATCTGACTAGAAAAATACCTATTAGCCTTTATTTATCACAAGCTTGACAAAATTATATTAATTTACTAAAACAGCTGAGAATTTTAGATTTTGACTATGGGGTTTTGGGGTTTTGGGGTTTTGGGGTTTTGGGG